CGGAGGGATAACGAGGGTCGTCGTCGCTTTTGGATTCAAGAATTTCTTACAACAAGATGGCAAAAGAACAGCGCTTTGCAAGACATGCAACGTTAAGATCGCGGACAGTCAACCTCCAATTTCGTCCGTCATTTGAAGAGCCATATTCTGCCCAGTAAGTGCTTGTCAATTTGTTAATGTTATCTGGTTAGCTCGTTCGTAGTTAGCTAGCTAATGTAAGTTAAAGGAGAACTCCGGCGCAAAATTACACATTGTTACCTAGTCAACCGTTATCTGAGATTTGTTTTCATGACTGCCGAATGTAAATAGTTTTATCTATAAAAACAGTTTAGCCTATAAGTGACGTCCGACATTCTGCATATTGTGTTATTTTGTTAAGCCCACTAAAGGCATAAAAAACTGTAAAGCAGAATCAAGTTTTCACACTATATTCCAAGACTTCTAAAGTCATTCAATAGCTTAATGTGTGGTAAATTAATATTTTAGTCTCTAAGTTAAAGTTAACGGAAAGTCATCTCGCCTCAGTCATTCTCCATGCATCAGCATTAGCGCGTCGCGTTCGGTTGCGACAGTAACACGACGACACTCTCTTCAAGATCAATGTTCCCAATATTATACTTTATTTGTAGATAAGGCATAAAGGTCTATGATTTGCATAAAATGACTATCTTGCTGGAGTGGAGTTTATTGCCCTTTAGAATACACTAAGCATTAGTGCTGCACGATTAATTATATCGCAGTCGTAATAGCGATCTCAAACCTATGCAATTATATAACGCAAAATGCCGCGATTTTATATGAAATAAACAAAGTAGGGCTATTAGCGCAGCATCTCTTCTTTTTTGTCATCCTTTGACTAGTGTTACAAGATCCCCCTCTTATTGGTTCAAATGCCTTTTCGCATTTTGCACGACAAGAAGTGAAAAGCTGCCTGTGAGTGCCCTGGATTAGAATAGATGAGACTCGCATAATGCGCATGCACTGACCGTGTGCCAGCCCAGAATAAACAGTTCTCTTTCGAGCTTGAACGAACAATAACACACACAATTATGCCAAAATGTCGTTTTGTCGAGTATCTTCATAACGTAAGAAAAGTCTTAAGGACGAAAAGAGTTGTGCTATGAGGCGCATGTGAGATCCGCGTCTCGGCAACGGGTGCTCTTAAAGGGCCAGCAGCGAATAAAGCGTTCTGTCAGTCAAGTTAAAAGAACAAAGGGAAATTAGAAATTACTCACTGATCTTGACTAAAGAACTTTTGTAGCTTTAATAAGGATTATTCTATATATAATTATAATTCATGCAGCACATACTGTTTGATAACTTTATTCAATTTCTGTATCCTGCCTGTTAAGACAGGAAGGGCACAGGTAAATATGGTTTTTTATTATGGGTTTATGTGGGGATTGTTTGAAGTTCACTTAATTTAAAATTTGTTAAAATTTTTTTTAGCCTAATAATTTTTTTTTAAAAAGTTGATAGCTTTCACTGTAATGATGGTTTGGTTGATGGTTTATTGATCATTATAGGTGTTATCAATCATTTAGTTGTTGTCTGTAGTTTGAGTTGAGAAATAAACATTAATACACAGAATGATCACTAATCTGTGTGTGCATTTTACTTTAGAACCAAGCAAGTTGGACTCATGAAACCATTTTATTATATCGGAATCGCATATCACAATTGCAATATTGACCTCAGTAATTGCAATGGCAATATGACATTTTCCCCAAATCGTCCAGCCCTACTAAGCATATTATAGATATAATCCCTTCGCTATGTTCTTTTCAATGTGAAGCATTGCTTGCTGTGACTTGGTGTTGCTTCAAGTTCATCATTCTGCACACGGGATGCGCATGATCGATTATAATACTTTGGGGAGACAAGGCCCCCCCACCGGGGAAATGGCCTGCCCCACAGCTTGGAAAAATCCTAGAGGAAACACTGCACACACACACTCATTCAATCGCACCTCCCTCCCCCTCCTTTCTCTCTCTCTCTCTCTCTCTCTCTCTCTCTCACACACACACACACACACACACTTTCTGCGAGGCAGCGGCTTCAGAAGTCCACGCGCTCAGAGGGAACTTCAACACACACTTCGACGTGCGCGCCTCTCTCTCTCTAGTGCGCATACACACACTCCAGCTTGAGAGAGAGAGAGAGAGAGAGAGGCGCGCGCGTCGAAGTGTGTGTTTGTGTTAAAGTTTCCTCTGAGCTCGTGCACTTCTGAAGCCGCTGCCGCGCAGCGAAATAAGAAAATACCACGCAGAGGACTGACGCGAAATGTGTGGAAATCCATTTGATTGTAGTTTAATTGAGAAATAAATTCAGTGCTCTGGTCAACCGCTATAGAGTGAAAACTGATTAAAGTGGTGGAAATAATGGTTGATGGACATAGAACAGTAACAATTAAACACCCATGCGTGAAGTCAAAATACATCATTAGTTTAAATCGATGATTGTGTGTGTGTTGTGTGGGGCGGGTAGGTATGATTACTATTAAAGAGTTTGCATATTTACTTTTCTTGAAAATATTTAGCTATTAGATCTATTTAAATGCTTCAGTTTGTTTTCATATTATATAATATATTATGTGCACAAATTGAAGCATTTAAACTGATGTATAATATCACTTCAAATACTTCAATTCTTTTTTATATTATATTAGGCCTCTTTTGTATTATATTATGAGCCTGAATAAAGAATCTAACAAAGGTATTGTTTAGGTTATAT